CAAACTTTACCAAGATAGGGTCACGGCCCTTTACAATCGAAGTCTTAACAAAGTCTTAAACATAAAAACTAGAAACATAAAATCCTTGTCCTCGACATATGAGGACATACCAAAAGAGGCCTTGAGAGAACTCCAATCCCAAGTTTCCTTAGAGAAAGCAATCATTTGCCGAAACCTACACTTGTAGTAAAAATAAGAAAATATGGGTTAGCACACAAAAATGTACTATGTATGAAGACCATACAAAAACATGCTTTAAAAGTGACATTTTGTTGAAAGTCATGCTTTATGACATTTTTGCAAAACTTCATGAACATTGATACAAGAGGCATAATATAAGCCACAACCAACATACAAAGTCACATAATTCTCATTTGAGCAAAATCACATATAACCCATTACCTTCACCTTGAGCCTCCACCTCAAGTAACCCTCAAGATATGCCTTGTGCAATGTATGGGTAGCGTCCCATACCACCACCTACACTAAGGCACCACCTTAAGGTCACCCAAAAATGAACTTACCATTCATCATTTTCACCTTTACAAAATAAAGCATTTAAGAAACATAAACATTATATGAATCACATCATCACATTAAGAGCAACATCTAAGACAACTCTAAGTCATACTTGTGCAATGTGAAAGTAGCATCCCATACTACTACTCACACTAACTACTCCATTGAAGTCACCATTGATAAGGCACATTCATATAGAATAGACATGAAAAGGAAGTGACTCATAATACAATCCAAGTATAGCATGCATCTTTACATTTAAGCATTTAAGCCAACCTTCTTCATTAGATTCATTTAGGAAAAATTAATGCCTTTAGAGGACTTTCATACATTAAATTTGGAAAGCCAATATGCATTCTCAAACATAGAAGACAAGCTATAGTCACAATACACTCATAACATAGTAATATCAATACCTTAGCAACCTCTAAGAACCCTTGTGCAATGTATGGTTGGCATCCCATAATACCAACCTTACTAAGCATTCCTTGAAGCCACATATTCATTTTCATAATATTCAAGCTTACCATAATTCATAGTCATAAATTAGGAATTATACAAGTACATTAACTAAACATAAGGAAAGTCATCTATTCATATCTTATCATACCATAAGGAAACCATTCCACAATATCTTGATAAGTCTCCTTGTGCAATGTAAAAGTGAAGTCCCATACCTCCACTTCTACCAAGTAAACCCATTAAGAAGTCATAGTATAGTTCCTATAATATTCATTATCTTATTGTTATTAGGGAATATTAGCCATAACTGACATAGACCATGTGAGCTACATGGAATCCGGTGTTATATAACCTCACACTGAAATAAGGAGTTCTTACTTGCCGAAGGTAGAACTAATGATATTTAGCTTCTAAGTGGATCCACTAGCTATGTACTATGTTTGACACATAGTTATGGGATAGGGAGATTGCTACTAGAAACCCAACATATTGCATTAGCAGAGGAGTTTCCATCTCATGAGTTAACTATAGATGAACCAACCTATTACATTAACGGAGGGGCCTTTTTCTCATTATCCATATCCACTCGGTACTAGGCATTATTTCCCATATATACATAGTTAGTATGGAATTGTATCTACATATGTGTAGGCATACTTTACCCTTCGTTCAATACAATTCACCAATTAGCTCATAGATTCATTTAAATGAGAACTACATTTCACCTTAGAATCAACATTAGTATGCGAGAATAACTATCACACCAAGATCATGTGTTCTCATGAGGATGGACTTTCAATCAACACAATAGGATCAACATGGTTATGTACATTTCATGCATAATAATGTGTAAAGGTGCATATGAGAACTATAATTTTAATTAATACCATTATTACATCAGATCATGTTTATGCATGGAGTGTGTGTGTAATTGTCCTTGCAATGACACAATCAACAACATTATAATCATCCTAGACCATTCATACAATATCAAGTGTAGGGGTAATGGAAGAATAACCTTTTCAACAATACCACCGTATACTCAATAGTCATAGGGCTTTCAACTTCTACGTATAAATCATCAGTTCACACACAATCTTGCAAACATGCACAAACCTTCACAATGTGCCGTTCAAGGGTTATGGATCAACTCTTCCCAGCATATAGCAATAGCACAATAGATAAGGGAATACCATGATCCGACAACTCATCAATACCTTAATCACATCTTGATTGGCACTTTATACTTCAAGTATTCATCAACATGCACATAATATCATGATCAAGTCAATTCATGTTTAGAAGCAATACTTTAAACCAATACAAGTCTAGGTGATATAGTCTAAGGCATTACATTGAGAAATTCATCATTCTTGGAGGATCACATTTAAACCCTCAATTTGCCTCTTTCATGACATAACCCTAGAAACTTAGGTTAATCACGAATACATGTAGAATTATACTAACATCAAGTAATTACATCATAACTAAACACCTCCACCGTTCAAGTGGATCAACATCTCTAATACAAGTCTACTACAAAAATTCACCATAATTAGGCATAGATGATGATACAAGTCAACAATCTAAATCAATATAGGCATAACTCCCTCAACATTCATTCATAATCAATAAACCCACTTCATAAGGCACAATTTAGGAATTGAGAGAAATCATGGGTTCATAGAGTATTTTCATCTTAAATCATCAATTAAAAATCAATATAATCATAGTTTATCATTTGAAAACATTTGATGGAAGAACCCATGAGATTGAGTGAAACTTAGGGTTCTTCATGAAACTTGAAAACTTTGAAACTTCTTTGAAATTGACTACAGGGTGAAAGCTAACCCTAGATGAAGGATCACCATACCTTTTACTTGAATAATCCCACTAAAATCTACCCAATAGCCTTCCTCTTCAAGCCCTAAGTCTTCTTCTCCTCTTGGTCTTCAATGGAGTTCTTAGAGAGAAGATATTTGGGAGAGAGGGTTTTGATTAGGGTGTTTTGAATAAAGAAGTACATGAAATGTTTTAGGACTAGAAACTATTTATATTTATGATATAAACCATCTAAAATCAACCCCACCTAATAAAACATTAAAACAAAATTACCTAAAAACCCTTAATTTGGGTAGCCCTGTCAGGGACCAAGGGCACTTTGACGGTCCGTGAAGGAGGACCACTGCCCGTGGTCCACTAGGCAGTAGATCCCTCGACCTTGCTAGACCTCCACATGGCCAAGTAATCTTCACGGCCACTTCTACGGGCCGTGGTCAAGACCACTGGTCGTGAAGTGGTCCGTGGAACTTGGTCAGTAGCTTGGCCAAGTTGCCTTGCTTGCCATGCCCCCAAGTGACCTTCACGGCCACTTCTACGGAACGTGGTCAAGATCACTGACCGTGAAGTGGTCCGTGGTCATGAGGCAGTGCTTGGCCAAAGTTGGTTAGCCTTGGCCTTTGGCTTAGGCCTTGCCCCCTTGTCATGGAACAATCCCTTGCAAACCTTAACCAATCATCAAAAGGAGTCTTTCAACTACGGAGTCTAACACATGCCTAGATGTTGACTCCTAAACGAAAGCTCGGGACAACATACAACACCATCAAATCTCATGAAAAACACAAATGCACACACGTTAGGCTCTAGTTTCACTAGTTTATTTTTAGGGTTGTTACAAGTTGGAGTACCTTTTAACGGTGGACAGTCTGTAATGGTCAACTTCTGAAGCCTAGGAAACATTCTTACTCCAACTTTATCTTCCTTCCACTCAATAAGGCTACACATATTCTCCAATACTAGTTCTTTCAATGGCGGGAACATATGGATATTGCCATTAATCTAGACACCATAAAATGCTGGTTCGATGCATTCCAATTCAAGGAATCCTATTAGCTCAAGATGCCGAAGGAACTTCAGTTGGCCTAGCGATGGATTTTTTTTGGACATTTTGCAACCACTTAATTTCAACATGACCAAAATTGGTAGCAATCCTTCACTGAACCATGAAGGTAATATAGTCGTGAAATTGTTCTAAGGTTTTCAAGTTAGCATGTTGTTGAAGACCATCAAACGCATACACATGATTGATCTCGTAGCCTTCTGATTCATTAGGGGACCATAAATATGCCAGCCTGTAGATATTTGGTTTCCCCTATAAATATGTTGTTCGAGCCTCTTCTTTATTTCTGACTAATTGGAGATATCTCATTGCCAATTCACCTCTAAGGTTTTTAAAAGGACCTAATTCTTCTATTTAACGATCCTTCTTTAAACCTACGTAGAAAACTGTAGCGTCTGAAGAGTAGTCAATTTCCCCATATTAAGTGGCATGTGAATATCTAATAGGTTATGACAGTTGCAATATATGTGTCTCAAACTTATCATATTTGTCATTTCTTCTAGAAACTTACTAAGTGAAAAAAAAAAATTCGACTCTAGGTGTTTGAAAATTATAGAGCTTGCAAATGGAGTTAGGCAAGGCTCTGATCTTAGTTGGCTGACAACTCCTCGATGCCTGATCCGGACAAATTTAAGACTCTCAAGAACTGAAAGCTCAATAGCATATCATTAGATATATTGTTTTTCTAGAACAATGTGCACAAACATCCTAGCTCATTTATCATATCCATTAGATCACTCGGTGAGACCCATCCAAAGTATCAAACTTGAGAAAGTTTTTCTCCATAATTTCCCTTCGGATCAAATTGTTTAGATTTTAAAATATCTCCAGCCAAATCATGCACAAGATCGTGCATCTTACAGTATGATATATTGTTGTGCTAATCTAGCTCAACATCTTGCATCAAGGAATTTTGCAACAAGATTTGGAAAAACTTGTGCCTAACTTCTTTTATCACGGTGGTCTCTTGATATGGATGGACAAACCCTTCTGCCTTCCAGAGTTGGATAAGTTGGTTTTTTTCAAACATACAAACTTTTTGAAACATTACAAAGTAAGCAAAACAGTTTTTTAGATATGGGGATGGTAGATAAAACATAGCTGAGTTTTAGGATTTTCTTTAAGCTATTCTCTCCATTATCATCTTCACCAGCAACAAGGGGGTTCCATCAATAATAGCCCACCATTCATGTTTCTCCTTGTTGCACAAGAGACCTCCCAACACACCTGCTGCCAACGGTAGACCTTGACACATTTCAACAATCATGTTCTTCATGCTCACTATTTCCTCCGGATCTTCCCCATAAACAAATGCTCTTTGTTTGAAAATCAACCAACAGTGATCATTCTCTAATCTTTCCAACATATGAGGACCTACTGCAGCTAGTGTGGATGCCACCAGTTTCATACGAGTCATCACAAGAATGCAGTTTCCTCTGGAAGTGTTTACTCCTCTCAAGGTGTCAATGAACTCATCCCACACTGGAAGGTCAGCATACCACAAATCATCTAATATAAGAAAATATCTTTTTCCTCCCTGGTTTGCACCTCAAGTTTCCGCTCTGTCAATGATTGGAGGATCTGTTAAAAAAAGTCCTGAGTGTTTGACATTTCAGGTAGACACAACCAAACTCTTTTTTCAAAGTATTTTTCGATCTCTTCATCATTGAAAAAGCCCCCCAAGCCCACTATGGGAATAGTGCACAATACACCTTCCTCTCTCATGTTCAACATCTTCTCCTTAATTTCATGAAATGACCCAAAAAGTTCTTAAAAATGTGCTTCGAAAGTTACCGGAAACTTGTTTAGCTATATATAAAAAAAATCCATTTCATTTTTCAAAAATCCGACTTCATATTCTTGTTTAGGGGGTCAAATTGAGTGGTAAATGGGTCTAACCCAAATTTTAGAGCAACCGTATCAAAATCCGAAATTTCCAAGTGAAGCCTTTTTCGAGGGTCTACTTTGGAGGGTCATATCTCCTAGCACACAAATTATTGGGTGGCCAATAACATATCCATGGAAATCCCTTTGAGTTAGCTACCTAACGCACTTCGTTTCACCTCATTCGGAGTTCGGACGAAGAAGTTATGCCCATTTTCGTAAACTCTGTCCGGCAGGAAAGGCAATTTCCAGTGAGCGTTTTTACTGTTCACCCGCCTCATTTTTTTTTCTAAGTGTTGGACCATTTTTCCAAAGGGCATATGTTATTTCCTATATACCATTAGTTCAATTCCCATATCTAAAACATTTCCCAAAACACCTCTCCCATACTTAGACAGATTTTCTCTCAAGTTCTCTCAAGAACCCTAATCCAAAACCTTCCTCAAGATTGAAGAGACTCTTGCTCCAAGTTCCAAGCTTCCATCGAAGACATTCTCAAGACCTTCATAAAAACTCAAGGTATGTTGTGTTGAACTCATGGGTCCTTCCACCCATAGTGCCTAGACTCTATTCTACTCACTAATTCATGGTTTAAGTTAAGATTCATAAATTAGTCTTGTTCTTTGTAATAATTTCCTGCACATTGAATTTTAAACATGAAAAGTGATTGTTTTGAGCATGTTGTGACTCTAGAACTTTAACCTAAAGTTGGAATGGATGTGGAGATTTTCATGTGGTATTGTGGGTGTTAAAAAGGTGTTGTTGTAGGTTGTTCACTGCTTTGGCTGCATAATGACTACCCTATTTTCCATGCTCTTTGATTCCATTACATGCCTTCAAGGTGTTTGACAAAATGTCCAACTATGGAGAATTGATGAATCGATGCTTTAAAGCTTGAGTTATGAGATGTATGGAAATCCAGAGATGTGTTGATGACAAACTAAGCTTGTGTATATGTTCATTCTATACGTGAGATTTCATTAGAGCCTAATGGGAATTTCCTATATAAAGTGTTGCATGACCATGCCCGGTCCGGGGGAAAAGAACCGGACAACCATGTGAGAGGTTTATATCTCACCACCTAGGATGCTTGGGGTGTGACCAACATCAACCATGTGAGAGGTTTATATCTCACCACCTAGGATGCTTGGGGTGTGACCAACATCAACCATGTGAGGGGTTTATACCTTGCCACCAGGGTGTCCGGGTTTAAACGGCATCCCCCATCCTAAGTTGGGGTTATAGATTGGTTGGATCATACATACACATATGCTATCTACTATTAGTATAGATTTACTTAAACATGTTTTGACTTCACTTTGATCATGCATCCTCATATTGTTATTCATAATGCCTATGAAACTATTTCTTGTATTTCGATTGTGTCCTTGTCTATTGTTGTGTTGTACCCCGCATACTTAGTACATTCCAAGTACTAACGCATATTTTGCCTACATGATGTCACCATGTAGGGACAGGAGCTACTCTTGATCCTTCTCTCCATTCACGTGGCTAGTACGGTGCTTATCCGAGTTGTTGGTGAGTCCTCAATGATTCGAGGGCTATATTATGTTTCCTACTCCTATGTTTTGAGACTTTAGCTTGCAATTGTATTTTGACTATGAGGGGAGCCGGTAGTATTTCATGGCCTCGTCCTATCTATGTATGTAGAGGTGTGCGTTGGACAAGTATTTTGTAAATGAGCTTGACTCTTGTTCTATGATGTCATTTTGAAATGGTTTGCCCTTAGTCCCTATTTCCCGTTAATTAATGTTGAATGTACTTCCGCGACCGATGAAGTGTGATGACAAGTTTGAGAGGCTTGTTTGGGGTTCCTTCGGGTTCCTCATTCGCCATGTCACGTCTAGGCCCTAGGCTTGGGTCGTGACATTTCAGCAACATCATTGTCTCTACCAACAACATTTGTAGCAACTACTAAGGAATCTGTTTCTCGAATAATCAGTACTATTTGCTGAGAAGGAACTATAAGTGATTGGAGACCCAGTTCTTTGGCTAAATGATTGATAGCCCTCAACTCTTCGTTTATGGTTTTGATTTTTTGGGATAGTTTGCTTGTAAATGCATGATGAGAAAAGAAACCACTAACCTTTATCATTGGATTGTTTCGAACTTGTGCTTCTAGAGATTCATATGTGAATTCATCAAGCACATTTATAGCATCATGAGCCATTTTTCCACAGCCTAATTGTCAACTTGTTGTCTTTGAGCATCATGAATTAAAGCTTGAATGATGGATGCATTATGTGTCATCATTCTGAGATGTTTGTTGCAATCCCTTGAGCTACTGACTTTCTCTATAGTTAGAGAAATCAGCTTTTCAAGCAAAACTTGAACTGCAACACCAATTACAGGGTCTGCCATTGTTGCTTTTGCTTCGTCTTTGTCAGAACTTAGCTAAGTTTTCCATTTCGTTATTACTTAGGGTTGATGGAGTTTCTATTTTTCCAGGTTGGATTGTAAGTAAAATTTTTGCATTCTTTATCTCTCTCAAACTTATTATTTTCTAATATATTAAAGTTATTTGTTTGGCGGGTGGGGGGATTTAGTTTCGAACCAACAAACTAAAAAGTTTAGCTAACTTTCATTATGATTTTAAATAGGCATAATATATAAATATGCCCTTTAACTTGACCTCATTTCACATTTATGCCCTCCAATTTTGGGCGTGCACAAATAGACATTTAAACTTGTATAAGGTTGAACGAGTAGACACATGAGTCGTATGTGACATAATACATGTAGGAAACAAATTTGTTTACATTTAGGTTTATGGAGTGAGTCGTTTAGTTGTTGCATTTGTTTAGGAGTCAAATAAGTTGTTTCCCTATCTTTAAGAATAGGAATTGTGGAGTCAGGTTTTAGCTTCAGATTTTCTAGGAGATCAAATGTGCTCTTTTGTTTACTAGTGTTTCATCTATTTAAGACTCTTGTAATAGAGTATTTGTTAAGCTTCTATACAGAGAAAACTTCCGCACTTGTAGAGTCTTTTCTTTTCAATTTACTATTGTTGATTTCTGTCGTTTGGTATTTGAGCCAAAGTTTTTTCTTTTTTGGAGAATTATTTACAGCAGTAAAGGATGGCTTCTAAGATTTTTTTAGGCTGCTATTCGGGGCTTCGATGGTCATTATGACCATTGGGCAATGTTGATGGAGAACTTTCTAAGGTCCAAAGAGTTTTGGCGAGTTGTCAGTATTGGTGTGCAAGAGCCAGCAATTGGTACTGCCTCGTCAGAAGCACATAAGGCAGAGTTGGATAGTCTAAGGTTAAAGGATCTCAAATCAAAGAGTTACATTTTTTAGACTATTGATCGTTTAGTACTAGAAAGCATTCTTTGCAAAAATACTTCTAAATAAATATTGGATTCCGTGAACAAGAAGTATCAAGGAACAGCGAAGGCAAAGTGAGTGACGCTTCAAGCACTCTGTGGTGAGTTCAAGGCTCTGCGTATGCAAGTTGATGAATTGGTATCAGATTATTTCTCTAGGACGTTGACTATCGCAAAATAAAATGTGAATTCATGGTGAAATATTAAAGGATGTTACCATTGTTGAGAAAATATTTCGCTCAATGACGACAAAGTTTAACTATATTGTTTACTCAATTGAAGAATCCAAAGATATTGACACTCTTTTTAGTGACAATTTACAGGGCTCCTTGTCGGTTCATGAGCAGAAAATAAATCTACAAGACAATGATGAAGTAGCATTGAAGGCAGTGTTGTTTTCGAAAGGAACAGATCAAGTGAAAGCCAAATGGAAAGGAAAAAAATCACACCATGAAAAGGAGAAGAGTAGTTCTGGTAATTCTCTGGAAAAGGAAAAAAGACGAGATAAGTCTCAAGTTGAATGATATCGATGCCATCAATTTGGACACTATCGATCTAAATGTCGTACCAATTTAAAAAGGAATCGTGGTGGAAGATCTAAATTTTCAGAGAAAAAGGAATATGGGGAAACCAAGGAAGAAGAAGAGGACGTTTCAGTTTTGATGGCATATACTTCCAACGAGAAGTTTCCAGTACTCATTTATAGTATCTCGATACCGGCTGCAGTAATCACATGTCTGGTAAGAAAGAGGAATTCTCAGAATTGGATGAAAGTTTTCAGGACACTGAGATTTGGAGATAATCAAGTGGTCTATTCCATGGGTAAAGGGAAGGTACAAGTCTCAACCAAAAACAACTTGATTCATACCATAGGTGAGGTGTTTTATTTCCTTGCGCTGAAGAAAACTTTATTGTTTGTTGGGCAGCTTCAAGAAAAGGGATATGAACTTAATATCAAAGGTGGAGTTTGTAAGATACGAGATCCTCCTTTGGGGTTAATCGCTCAGATTAGCATGTTGTTAAATCGATTGCTTCCTTTATATCTTCACAACTCCATAAAATCTTGTATTTCTTCAAAAGTTAAAGAAGATGCTTGGAAGTGGCATTTTTCTTATGGGCATTTAAATTTTGGAAGCTTGATGTTTTTAAAGAAAAAATAATTTGTGTTGGGTCTTTCAAAACTTGAATCTCCAAATGAATTATGTGAAGATTGTGTTGTTAGCAAGCAACACCGTGAACCATTTCCAGCAAGCAAGTCGTGGAGAACAAACAGGTGCTAAAGTTGGTGCACTCGGATATATGTGGTCCAATAAGTCCTACATCTAATGGAGGTAAACACTACTTCATTTGTTTCATTAATTATTAGAGCATAAATACATGGGTTTATTTCCTAAAAGAAAAATCTGAAGCTTTTGAAACCTTGAAGAAGTTTAAAGTCCTTGCTGAAAATGTTGAGGGTTGTCTAATTAAGTGCTTGCGAACTGATCGGGGTGGCGAATAGACCTCACAAGAATTTTTAGAGTTTTGTGAGAATCATGGAATTAAGAGACAACTTACAGCAGCCTACACACCTCACCTCAACAGAATGGTGTGTGTGAAAGGAAAAATCCTACAATTCTTGATATGGTGCATAGTCTTTTGAAAAGAAGTGGTTTACCAAGAGACTTTTGGGCAGAAGCTATTCATTGGAGCATTCATATACTAAATAGATTTCCAACTAACTCTATTTAACATACGACACGTCATGAAGCTTCGAATAGGCGTAAAAAAAAGGTTGAGTATTTCTTGATTTCGGGTGTATAACATATGCACACATCCCAGATGCTATGAAGAAGAAGTTGGATGATAAAGGTCAGAGATTCGTTTTCCTTGGTCTTAGTGACAAATATAAAGCTTATCACTTATTCAATCCTATTACCAAGAAAATTGTTATAAGCCGAGATGCTATTTTTGATGAAGAAGGAACATAGATTTGGAGCATTAATAGTTCGCTTTAACATATTCCATTTTCTATTGAAGAAGAAGAGAAAGAACCGTAACCACCATTGGGGATTAGTTCACAAGCAAGTACAAAAGTAGAAGATGCTACAGATGTTTAAAATGAATCAGGTGATACTCAGTTCAACAATGAATGTCCTCAACGCTGCAGAGGTGCACCAAGCTAGATAAAAAATTGTGAAGTATATGAGAGTAAATATAGAAATACATCCAGACTTTTTTCGTTATTTTCATATTGTGATCCCATATCTTATACCGATGCCGTTAAAGATCCAAAATGGAAAAAAATCATGGATAAGGAGATTAGATCAATTAAAACGAATGAGACTTGGAAGTAGACAAATCTTCCAGAAAATCAAATAACCCTTAGTGTCAAATGGGTTTACAAAACAAAGTTGAAGGAAACGGAGAGGTTGACAAGTTCAAAGTTCGGTTAGTAGCACTAGGCTATAAGAAAGAATATGGTGTTGACTATGTAGAGGTGTTTGTTCTCGTTGCTTGGTTAGATACCATAATATTAGTGAATGCTTTGGCTTCTCAACATACTTGGAAAATCTTCCAGTTGGATGTGAAGTCTGCTTTCCTTCGCGGTGAACTACAAGAAACTGTATTATCGAAGAACCTCCTGGCTATGTGAAATTTGGTGCTGAGAATAAAGTGTTAAGATTGAAAAAGGCTATATATGGACTAAAACAAGCTCCAAGAGCTTGATATAATTGTATAGATGCATACTTTGCAAAGGAGAATTTTGAAAGTGTCTATATAAACATACCCTTTATATAAAAAAGAAGGGTGAAGGGATCTTAATTGTGTGTTTATATGTGGATGACTTAATTTATACCTGAAGTGATATGACTATGATTAAAAAATTTAAAAAGTCCATGATGGTTGAGTTTGACATGTCAGATTTGGGTATGATATATTTCTTTCTTAGTCTAGAAGTGAATCAGTGTCACACCCCGAGCCTACACCCTGGACGTGGCCGGCACTCGAGAACCATTGTTGGTCCCCAAATGAACCCTCATCCTGGCTAACTACAAGCGGAAGACTAAGTCAAGCATACATAAGCAACAAATTGAAAGAAACGTTAAAAACAATTTACTGAATCTCAAAACTTTGCTAAATATACTAAGTATGAAACATAAGTTTTAAATAGATTCTATGAAACTGAAAGACTCTCCAAAATTGTCTAACTATAAAGCCTCTACTATGAAGGATGGATGTCGGGACAAGACCCGCGACACCTCAAACTACTAACTGGAAAGTAGGAGGCTCACCAAAGCAAACTGGAGTGGAGAATGATCTTAATGAAGCGCCTGTTGATAATCATGAACACATATATATGCATCATAAAAGGATACGGGTCTAATGACATCAATACATGGAATGTACGAGTATGTAATATGGCTGAGTAAACAAATAAATGAACTGAATGACTAAAAGCAACTCAACTGAATTAATACATGAACATGAACTGAAAACCATTTAAGCTTTACAATGAAATATACAATGAAAGCAACATGAAAATAATATACTTTACTTGTGGGGAGTTTCTCTAATCGACAATAATTACCATGCGCCTAGCAATGATACAACGTCCAGCCGCACATTGCAAAGGCCCATCCTATACCCTGCCGGGGGTATAGGATGATATCGTGACTATGGATCCATTTAATTGGCCTTCTCAGAGGCAGTGAGGAGTCGCATGAAGAGTCAAAGTTATCCTATCCTACGGTGGCTACGTGGTTCTATGGGACTTTTGAATCATAAAAGACTCTAAACCAACTCGGTGCTCGATACTACTCCCAAAATAATTAACATAACTTTGTGCTCAATTCACCCAACA